ACTCACGACCTTGCGCATGCCAGGCAGGCGCTTTTGCCGCTGAGCTAAATCCCCAGCCCCTTTTTGGCTGTCTTAAATAGTGCTGTGATAAACATTCAGATACAAGGTACTCTTTTCTTTCCCCAAGGGGAAGGATAAATTGTGAGGATAAATTTGTAAGCCCTTTTTGTGCAGCACTGGCCAGAATCCTGGTCTGGTTCCCTTTGAGTGGAAGTGGTAAGAACAGGCATTTGTGCCTTGTTCCTAGAGTCAGGGCAGGGAAGTACTCAGGGCCAACCTTGGTCTGGCTGCCAAGTATTCCATCACATCTTCTTTGTGGCCCCTGGCCCTGGGGAATCTCCTCAGCCTCTGCCTCTACTTCTTTCTACCTTTCTGCACTTCCCCTTCTGCCTAAGGTGTTGCAGCGCTCACCTGAATCACCTCCTATCCGCAGCTCCACTGTACAGCTTTCCCCACATGCCTCGCAATCCTCCGAAGGATCTGTGAAATACAGACCTTCTTATTTCAAACTCCTGATTAGAACATAGTGACCATGCTTGCCTCCAGGCTGATTTGGGTCCTCTTAATTTGTCACCAGCTGCCTTTAGCTGATCTGGTTCCCATCTATATATCTGGCTTCCCACTTACCATCCTGCACCCCTTGCAGCCTCTGCTGCTGATGAGGCCCTGCTTTCACTCACGCCTCCACTTGGCCTCTTCATCCTCCCCTAGAATGCCCTCTCCTACTCTTTGGCTTTTGTGATTCTTAGTCATGGATTTGTTTACTTGGCAAATGGTTCTGAATGTCCACACTGCCAGGTACTGTGCCGGGGCCCCACTTGTGTGGCTCTAGCCTAGTAAGAACAACAGAGTTTGCACAGCACTGAGAAGCTGTGGTGATGTGGCTGGAAGTGAGGGTTGGCAGGATGCTATTCTAGAAGCCTTTTCTGGTGCTCTTCCCTCTCCTCCTCCTGCAGTGTTCCCGTAAGATTAGGGTACCCCACCCCCGTGCCCCAGTATCTGTGCCACTGTGTACTCCTGAGGGCAGGACCCGTGTCTTCCTAATCTTTGTATCCTCAAGGGCAAGTACAGGCCTGGCATGCTTGCCTGTTGACTAAGGAAGAAAGCAAATGGGCTCTTACTGTGATGTTTCCATGAAACTGGTAACCTGCCATTTGCTTGTCCACTGAGTGCTGCTGATGCCTGGGTCCTTCCTCCTACTCTGGTCACCAGGTCTCCCTCCTCCTGGGTGAGCCCTTCTTCACTACCAGCTTGCTGCCATGGCACAACCTGTACTTCTGGTATGTCCGGACCGCTGTGGACCAGTACCTGGGGCCTGGTGCTGTGGTGATGCCCCAGGCTGCCTCACTGCATGCCATGGTCGTGGAGTTCAAGGTAGGCCACCCAGAGGGCTTTGCAAAAAACAAAAGTAAGAGGAGGGGGGCAGGAAACCTGTTTTCTTGCAGAGATCTTGGGTACAGATGGAACATCTTGGGCCTTGATGACTAGGCCTTTCTTTCCTGTATTAGCATACTGCCAGGCTAAATAGAAGAAGCTTGCCCTTTTAAAAAAGCAGTAATTTGACATATGAAATGGAATTGACTGTGTGTTGTCATTTTACAATTGGGGCTTATCAGAGTAATTAAAAATATAAATTAAGTGTTTCAGAAGACATGCTGTGTGTCTCGCTCTGTTCTCATTAAGAGTAGAGGCTGTAGTTGTTAAAGCATTCAGAGATGGGAGAGCTCTTTTATGCAAGAAGAAATTGAAAGCCTTCATTTTAGTTTTCTCATCAAAGCAGAACCATGGTCACAGTCATTTTGGGAAAGGCATTTTTTCCTTGAAAGGATTTCAAAGTGCTTTTAACCTGAAATGTAGAATGAATTGCATTTCATATATCTTTTATAAAAATGCCTCTGTCTGTTGGTAGCTTAGTGATTCCACCATTTAATTTCTGGGCATTTCTTTTGTATTATTACCTGACTAGATTTCCCTGTGAATTGTATTCTCATGGCAAAAGAGGGGCTATAGAGAAGAAAGCTTATTCCCAGGTATATGTCCTAGAGCAGAGGATGGAAGATAGACGGGCTGGAGTATCCTTTTAGGCCTTTCCCTCTGTGTCGTCCTCATACTCTGCTTACGGGCACTGAGCCTTGCAGAGCTGCTTTACAGACTTCCTCTCCCGCCCAAAATGGTACTAGGGGTAGTCTGGACAGCAAGTGCAAACCATAGCCTGGTAGTTCTGACTGATTGTCCCCAGAGAGGAGAGGACATGGTATCGTGCCAGTTTGCAGATGTTAGACTGTTTCTGTAACATGCTAGACTGTTACAGAAACCACCCTGGCTCTTTAGTCTCTGTGTCCTGTCAGCGCTGAGGGTCTGTCCCATGTGTGCAGGAGCATCAAGATGTGGCTCTGGTTCTTGTTTCCTTTTGGCCCTCTTACTCTTGTTGCCACACTTCCCCGTGGCTCATGTTGGGTAGACGAGGCTGTACCTTCCTCACAGGACCTGTGGCGAATCCGGAGCCCCTGTGGGGACTGTGAAGGCTTCAGTGTGCACATCATGGATGACATGATTAAGGTAGGCAGAGCCATAGCTCCAAGCACTGCCCTACTGCCCTTGCCGTATGGCCACCGAGCTCTGGCAGGGCCCTGGCTTGGGCAGTGGAGAGCTCTGTGCAGAGATCTTTACTGATTGGGGCAGCGCGGTCATTTTGCTGGTTTGCGTGAGCTGGTTCTCATCTGAGAACGGTTGTGTGTACCTGGCCTCTTCTCAGCTCCATGCAGTAACCCCTGAATTGGAATCTTGGTTGGTGTAAGGTCTGTGTGTCACCACAACATTGGTACTGCTCCTCCAGTGCCAGCAGCTTGGTGTCTGTCGAGGCAGCCATGTGGAAGGTGGCCCTTGTAGGCCTGTCTGTGTAATAGATGTTGGCAGTTGCCTGCATGTTCGACAGCAGTGGATGAGCAGCAGGGTCTGCACCTCAGAACCCAGGATAGCCGTGACAGCAGCAGTGGTGTGTGGCTCTTGGAATGAGGTGAAGAGTGTCCAAACATGTCCATGTGAGGAGAACAGGGTAAGGGGCATGGGCCCGTTTTTATGGTTAAGAAAATTTTCATACACATACTGAGAAAGAGGGTAGGGTAATGGACACTGCATTTAGGAGGTGGTGACCTTTTCCTCACTTTTGCTTATTGTTCAGTTTACATTTTTCTTTGCAAACATGGATTGCTGTGCAGACTCCCCCAGCACCCCCAGCCCTGGGGATTGAACCCAGAGCCTTTGCACTGAATTATTTCTCCAACCTTTTTACTTTTTTATTTTGAGACAGATCTCCCTAAGTTGCCCAGGCTGAGTTCAAACTTGGAATCCTTCTGCCTCAGCCTCCCAAAGTGCTGGGATTATAGTCATATACCACCACACCTGGCTTAAACATTTTTGTTGTGTTGTTATTGTTGTTCTTTGTTTGTCTTTTGAGACAAAGTCTTACTATGTAGCACAGGCTAGCCTTGAACTGGAAGTGGTCCTCCTGCCTCAGCTTCCCAAGTGCTGGGGTTACAGGTATGCACTACCATGCTCAGCTAAATATTTTTTTAAGTAAATAAATCCCATGGATATTTCCCATTTGTATCTTACCTTTACAATGACTGTAGACACTGTCCATGTGTCTAGAAATCTTTGTGTTGAAATGTCACATGCACAAGCTGTGGGCCCCTGTGCCACCCTGGCAACTCCTCAGGCTCTTTGCTGGGCTCTTTGCACCCTTGCCACCCTGACATGTCTCCTGTCTTCCTCCACATAGAGCCCAAGAACACTTGTAGATCCTAAATCTGGCTATGTCCTCCTGCACAATCACCTGGGCCATGCCTACCTCCTGTCCCTGCTTGACCTTGTCTATGCCCACTCTCTGCTTGTTCCCCTTCTCTGCTTGTTCCTCTTCTCTGCTTGTTCCTCTTGGACCCTCAGGACCTGGCCTGAAGTCACCTCTTCCAAGCAGCTTCCCTGTCCCTCCCCTCCCACCTGCCCTGCTTCCACCTGCACCCCTATGCTTTCCCAGGTCCTGGTCTGGCTTGTTTACGTGGCCACGTCCCGAGGCCCTGAGCCTTCCGTTAGGTGCTGACAGCTGTAGTGTCCAGTGTCAGTGAGTGGGTGAATCTCCCAAGCATCAGGTGTTTTTACACTGGGGCTGTTCGAGCACAGAGTAGCTTAAGAACAGGCATTGTCATCCTCATTTAAAAAGGAAAAAGTGAACCTTGGAGAGGTGGTGACTTGCTGTGGGCAGGGAAGAGAGAAGCTCTGACTAGATGGCCAAATCATTCCCAGGGAACACGATGTCCCACATGACTGCAGTTTCCCTGGTGGACTCTGGCCATGGAGGTGAGGGTGCCTGTGGCACAAACCCTGGACAGCCCCTTCACCCTGGCTACCAGCTCATCTCTGCAGACTCCCAAAACCCCTTCTCCTCTCAGTATGCCCTGGATTTCCGGGAGAGCAAGGAAGCGGAGCCACACCCACTGTGGGAGTACCCCTGCCGCAGCCTCTCCGAGCCCCGGCGGATCCTGAGCTTTGATTTTCAGCAGCTAGTTCCCCAACAGCCTTTGCGTGCTGAGGGCACCATGGAGCTGAGGAGGTACGTGGAAGCTCTGGGAGGGGGTAAGGGTGAAGGAAGTAAGGGGCTGCTGCTGCCCACGTGGTCAAGCACCGCTGGCTTGGGAGACACTTACTCTGGCCCATAGTGAGTCCTTGTCTCCTCTTTGTCTGACCTTGTGTGTGTGGCAGTCACACAGCCACAGGGCCCTGGGAGTGGTGGTGTAGAGTGGGCTTGCTTGTCCCTCCATCTGAGGCTCTCTTGTTGGATCTCAGCTGCCAGGAATCATGAGCTTTGTTACTATGGTTACCCATTGGAACAGGTTCCTGAACTCTCCTGGGAATTAAAAGAATTCAGGAGTGATGAGGGCTGCTTACTGCAAGGCATGGATGGCCCCACCCTGCTCTAGCTCCCCTCACAGAGAGCAGTGCCTCCTCTTTCTGACTAGCAGAGGCCGTGAGCCAAGAGCTCCTGGGGCTCCAGGGACCAGGGGACTGGTGGAGCAGGCAAGGCAGATGCCATCACCTGCCTGAGCTGCTGTCCAGCATGTCTAGAAGTTGTCTGATAGCCTCCAGTGCCAAGGGCTGCCCTCTGCAGCCTTCAGTTTCAGAGAGAGGAGGTTGGCCCTGCAGCTGAGCAATGCTACCCTGCAGTTCCTGGGTAGTTGGCCAGGCTGTAAGGAGCTGTAGGGAAGCTTGAGCTGTGGCTGCGCTTGCTCCGGCTTTTTTGTGTGGCAGTTCAGTGGGTTAGGGTATCCTCATGGATGGGAGTGAAGACCAGAGGTTTAAGGAAAGCAGGGGGAAGCCCCAGCTGTGCCCATCTCACTGTGACTGTCCATTGGCCCACTCTCCCAGGCCAGGGAGGAGCCATGGAGTTGTCCTGTGGATGGAATACCACCTGACGCCAGACAGCACAGTCAGCACCGGCCTCCTGAAGCCCACAGAGGACGAGGTAATGCTGTGTGTACTGGGTCTGAAGTGTGTGCCGACTGCAGAATTGGCATCACCCCTGTCCTCTGGGTATTCCTGTTCTTTGTGTTTTAGGCCAGATGCTAACTCCTTTGTGGCCCTGGGTCATCCGGCCCCTAAGCAGCTTCTTCCCACTTTGAGTTGCGTGGGCTGGAGGCTATGGGAAGGTGGCCCAAGTGCCAAGGACCTTCACTATCTTCTTGCTGCTCCTACAGGGGGACTGTTGCTGGAACCCCCACTGCAAGCAGGCTGTGTACTTCCTCAGCCCCACGCTGGATCCCAAAATGCTGCTGGGCAGTCCTCAGGCAGTAAGTTATGCTGTGGAGTTTCATCCCCGTACAGGAGCTGTCACCATGGAGTTCAGACTTACAGATCCCCCAAACTGACCCTCCCTTGTTGAGAAATAAAGTATTTAGAATTTGTTGCTCTGAATGGGTTGTGGCTTTTGGGGAAGGAAGGCTGAAGGACCCTTCTTCCAGGGACCTGTTTGGCCCCAGCACAGAGGATGCCTTGCGTTTTTGCATCTTTGCACAGCTGACTCCCAGCTCCAGGTATGGTGGACAGTGTGGGCTGGTGATTGATTTGGAGTTGTGGAGGGACTAGGGAGACCTGCCTGTTTCTGGTCTGAAGCTCAGAAAGCTCTAGGGCATTGATGTCTTCTGCCCTACCTAGAAGGGAATGAAGGCACAGTGCTCTTGCTAAGGTGTGTGGGTAGGTAGGTGGTGCTGTCTGCTTAGCTGGGGAGTCCTGCTGGTGGAGTCTGCCTGGTCTGTGCTTCCTGAGATCTTTTAGTTCCCTGTCTACCCAGCTCCCTTACAATCACCTGCTAGGCGATGGAGACACTGAATCATGCCTAGATCTTGGGCCTTGAAGACTGATGGGGCTGGGGATGAGAGGAGTAGGTTCTGGTCCTTGCCTCTGCCACATTTATACATTTAGGCACCTGGCCTCAGCACACACTAGTAGGTAGCCTGCAAAGCCGCAAGACCGGGCATCAGGCTGCTCAGAGACCAGGAAAGAGGCAAGCAGTTCCTGAAGGGCAGCCCTGGGAAGCCAGCCATCAGGAAATGGAGCCAGGTGCAGCCCTTTCCCACATAGCCCCCAAGTCCATCGGAAGTCCTCTGCCACCGCCTCAGAAGCCTTGGGCAGATGGGATATGGTGTGGACCACCCCAGTCTTGCTTCAGTAGGGAGAGCCAGATTTCCTAGGTGCCCAAGGTCTTTATCCTACACACTCGAGGTACCATTTGCTGTTGGCCTCCCCATTTCTGAGGAAATGGGAGATGCCCAAGAAAAGCGAGATGGCCCACAGTCCTAGCATTTCAGGGCAGACTTGGGGGCGGGCAGTCAGCAGGGCCCATCCCAGCTTGTCTCTCAAATAAGTAGAGAACGTCAGCCTTGAGCCTCACAGTTTTATTTCCTCCTCATTCTCCATCCTTCCTTTCAGCACCATGAAGGAAAAAAACCACCTCTCTTTTCAAAATATTTTATCAGGTGTAAAGATTGGTTTTCTTCTAGGAAAGAATTGTCTGGAGATATATATCTATATATCTATATATATATATTTACATACATATCTAGATATATAGAGATATATATGGTAACGTTTTTACCAAAACCTTAGGTGTCTTCCCATATAAAACCCCTAATGTCCCATGAGGATACAATACAGAAAAAAATACAGAAATTAAAAAATGTTTTTTTTTTCTTTTTTTAAAACAGTATTTCTAAATCTCAGCAAGTTAATACAATAGTTAAAAAGCATCAAGATTAATATTATACTTAAAACTCAAGGTGATTTTGGATAAATGAAAATGAATGTTTCCTTCCTAAGCTGACCCACTTGCCTTATGGCTCCCCTTGTGGTGGGTCTGGGGCAGTTAAGAGCCTTGGTTTAGATCTGGGTGGCCCCTTTTTCTGCCCCTTCCCAGGCCATAGATGCCACTGAATCTGAGATCCTGGCAATTTTTTTTTCTTCTCTTTTTAAAAAATCAAAATGGAAAAGCCTGGCTGTTCACAGCCCTGGGAGTCCACAGGCACACCATGATGAAAATTGTGGTAGTCGTGGCCTCAGCTGTAAAGGAGGTGTGGGGGAAGCTAGGGAGGCAGGGGGTCCCTCTGACGCCAGGACCAGACTAGGCAGAGGTGACCCTGTGATGACAGAAAGTGACTGAGGCACAGGGCGGTATGACTTGCCTAAGGCCGCCCTGGATGTTGGGAGGATGAGAAGCAAGTGGCCCTGACTTCACATGTGCTGCCTCACCCGCAGGGACAGAAGCTGCTGGAGTGGTGCGGGAACCCTGGCCTTGGCCTTGGCTGCCCTCCCTGTGTGCACAGCAGCTTAGGTCTGGGGGTTGGACCTGCCTAATTGAGCCCTGCGTGGGAACAGAGTCCTGGCTTCTCCCAGGAGTGGGGCACCCTCCACAAATCCTTGCCCAAACCCTGGGCAGGCCGTGCCAGAGAGTCCAAGCAGGCTGTGCTTGCACAGTAGCAGGGTGGCTTCTGTCTGCGTGTCAGCCAGGACCACTCGCTGCCCTAGGCACACAGTGGCACTGACCTGGCCCTCCCAGCCAGGTGCAGGATCAGCCCACTGGTGCCGGACAGGCTGTGCTCTGCACCTTGGCTTCTTGCGTCTTTATCCAGGGTCCCCCTAGCCATGGCATTGGCTGGAGTAGCTATTGAGGATGGCCTGGGAGGCCAGAGCCACAGCCCCACCCAGGGGCAGGCAGGCAATTCCTGAGCTGAGCCAGCAGAGGGAGTCCCTGGGGAAGGATTGGTCCCGAATCAGAGAGGTGTCTGAAGGGCAGCAGGGGCTTGGCAGAGGAAGAGGATGCATTGGCTTGGATAGAAGAGAAGAAGCTACAAATCTGTCATTTTTAAAATGAAGACCCTACCCCCACCCCTTTATGCTGTGAGTCGTCTTCCTGTAAAAAAGTGATGCTGTCTTCTGGGATTTCTGGTTATGGCTCCATGGCCCAGATTCAAGTCTCCTAGAAGAGCCACGGGGGTGGGCAGAGCCAGCTGGCCCCTGGTGTGTCTGGGCTGGGGAAGGGACCCTGTCTTGGGAAGGGCAAAGTTCTATGTAGTGACTTGGAAACCCTTGAAAGTGAAGGGTGGTTTTGTTTTAACTTTTTCTGTTTTCTTTTTAAGACATAATCGCCCTTGAATGCAAGACTCTGGGAAGAGCCCTGGGCTGGCTGATAATGACGGCCCTCCTGTCCCCACAGTTCCTCTTCTGGGCTGGAGGCGGAGGGCTGGCAGCCGAGCCCAGGAAGTGCTTCTTTGGCTGGTTCTGATTGTGTTTGGAGTCTGGCCTTGGGTGAGGCCCGAGCAAGGGGTCTGGGTAGCTACAGTGTGGCACGTGGCATGCGAGCAGCGTGCATGCGAGGGTGCAGGCATGCGAGACAACATTGGCAGCAGACAAAATAACCCTGGACGAAGCTTGAGAAGAGACACAAAGAGCACATAAACCGGGTCCTCATACTAACCCTTGGGTTACAAACTAGGTTGTGCTGTAGATCTGTAGAAAATCACGTTTGGAAAGAATGGCACTGGTTAGGCAGCCGGGGGTCCCGGGCTGGCCTGAGTCTGTGTCCCTGGAGATGCCCCAGAGTCAAAGAGCAGCACTGCTTCCAGGCTCCCCGGGACTGACCGTGGCTCCCTCCCTGTCCCCTGCCCTCCTCCTCCAGCACTGGGTGCTGGATGGAGCAGACACGGCCCAAGGATGGGCTGCAGCTCAAAGGGTTGGCACAGCCCGCTGCTCTGGATGCCAGTGGTTCGGCTGGACTATGCCTCCTCTTCCCCTGCAGACACCATCAGCCGCATGGCCACAGGGAGGTGGTCGGTCAGGCCGGACAGCTGGGTGATAAAACTGAATTCTTCCACCTCCTGGGTTGTAGGGGAGGGGAGAAGCACTCTGATTAGATCCGAAGTGTATCCTGCAAAGGAGGCGGGTGGGGACAGGGGATGGCAGCCTGGGGGGTCCTAGACATGGGGCCTCTGGGCTAGGGTTGCCCACAGAGATGGGACCCAAGATTCCAGGGCCTAAAGGTGTCAAGGAGTAATGGCTCTCGTTTTTTAATGGTGTGTCCTGAGGGTGGGGTCCAGAGGGAACCTTAGTACTACCGATGGCTACAGGGCAGCCCCAGACTCACGGCCTTCCAGTCAGGGCACAGCCCCTCCTCAGCGTGCAGCATGTAATCAATGCGACGGCCGTTGCCTTTCAGCAGGTCCTTCCGCCCCTTCTGGCCGCCTCCCGGGCTCTTGCTGGTGGGGAAAGCCAGGTACTCGCGGCGGCCTTCCTCGCTCTCCAGGACCCTGTTCACCAGACAGGCAGCAGGATGAGGCCCCCACCCCTACCCCTGCCAGCCCCGACCGAGCGGGTCCTGTGTGAGGAGCTGTGGTCTCTGCCCCAAGCGAGAGTGGGTCAGACCAAACCTCGGGGTGCCATCTGCCTCCCCCGTGGCTCACAAAAGGCTCATGCTGGAGGGAAGGTTCTCCAGAGCCTGTGAGCAGGGGGTTGAGTGTAGCCGTCCAGGTCTCTCAGTCTGTCCTCTGTCACTTTGGGCTGGCCAGCCCACACATACCCTTTTTTTTTTGTCTTTTTGAGATGGGGGTCTTATTATGCAGTTCAGGCTGGTCTAGAACTCACTTTGTAGCACAGGCTGGCCTCAAACTCCCAACATCCTCCTGCCTCAGCCTCCTTAGTGCTGAGATTACAGGCATGCGCCACCATGCCCGGCTCCTCGCATACCCGGCTCCTCACATACGCTTTTTGAACTTGGACTTGTCCAGACCACCCCTGCCCTGTCTCCAGAAGGGGACTGTTTGGGAGATGTGGCCTTTGCACGGAGCCTCAGGGCTTTGTCTTCTGGAAGCCCCAGCTCACATCCCATGATTGTTTCAGATCAGCCGAGGACTGAGGGAGCCAAATGGAACCCAGGCCCCATGGGAGGACTCTCCTCTTACATGGGTTTGTCCCTAAGTGGCAATACAGCCCAGGTCATGTCACCAAATCTCCTAACCTCCACTTTCTCCTCTGAAACAAGAATGGTTGCTGTGGGCCCCAAGCTACTTTGGGGACGAGCTGATGTCCCTTCTCAGATCAAGGAAACTCCCTGGGTGTGACAGTGCCATTCATAGGTCTATAGGGAGGGCAGGTGGCTTAGTTCTGGGCTTAGCTTCCTCTGGGCTTCCCCTTTGAGAGGGCACACTGGGGTGGGAAACACTGCCCAGGGCACCAGATAGTCAAGGCCTGGATAGACCAAAAAGGTGCCTGGTAGGTTGGCAAACACGGGTTTCTACAAGGTTTTTATCAGCCTTCAGATAAATACTAATGATATTCAGAACATTGTTACAGCTCAGAGATATAATCCATTATTGTCCTTTGCCTTTGGTAATTAATTCCAGCATCAATGATCAGAGAGTTACTGA